CTTCCATGTGGAACTCTTTTCTGGCTTCTTGCATTTTTTTTATTCATGATCACCTCATACAAGGCCCAAGAGCCACTAAAAGTAGACAATTAATGGGTGGTGTTGTATGAGTGTAAGAGAAGGCAAAAAGTGCAGTTCTTGAGGTTATGTATGAAAGATAATGGTTAACCCTAATCTTGAAGAGGTCACGATTGTAGTCATTTGGAAAATATCCTGCCAGGAGTCTTCCTTGGGAAGAAGTTGTCTGAATGGACCTACTTCTTATTAACGGAATACAAAGGGAATAAGGGTAATTCATCTGTGTGTACGTGACATGACGGGTGTCAGCTGCAAAAGTCAGGGCTCAGAACACTTGCCATGAAAATAGTGATAGAATAGAGAGAATCTTGCAATGTTTCATCTGTAGGAAAAGGGTTATAGGATGGAAAATAATGCATCACCCACAAGGCTGCATAGATGCTTTTGAACTCTTATCAAGACAAGCAAGCTGGGCAGCTCCAGTCCAGATATAACAGCAATTCTCCATTTTTAGTCTGATCTGGCTTTTGTAAAGGTAATGTATAGCAGAGAGAATAAGATACTTACTGGTGCTGTAGGTAAAATGAACCAACCATCTTTCCAGCATCTTTAGCAATAGATTGTATATATGAGTTCAACTTGAGGTTAACTTTAGTCCAAATAGACATTTAAGACAAGGAGCCTCCATTGTAATAGGTGAAACTTCAGTGCTTGCTCGGTTATGGTGGATCGGTAGTAGTTTGGTTTTGAACATATTGAATTTTAAAAGCCAGTCCTTCCCCCATTTAGCAACCAGGGCTAAGTCAGAGAAGAGATCAACTGCTAGATTCTGGTTATACAGAGTTTTGGAGGTGCACCTATAAACTGTTGTATCTTCTGAATAGATATTTACTAAAGATTGAAACATGTTCTTAGACAGATCATTGATATAGAGCAAAAAGAGAGTTACAGCAAGGAGAGCACTTTGAGGAATGCTGTCTTTGTTCTTGTGGGCTTCTGATGACTTATTAAAAATGATCGCCAGGGACGTATTACAAAGAACTTGACAGTTGAGAATGCCCTTCCAGAGATTCCAATAGTTAGTGAGTTTATGCAGCAGCCCCATACCAAGCCACACCTTGTCAAAGGCCTTTGATATATCTAGGATGATAGTCCTCATGATGAATTTATTGTTTAGTGCCTTGCTAATTCTGTGAATAATGACAGTAATTCAGTAGTGGACCTCGCAGTGCAAAATCCATACTGGCTATCACTCAAAAGGTTGTTCCTGTTGAGGTGTTCAGTGATTATAAACACAAAGAGTTTGTTTATGACACTAAGGAAGCTAATATTTCAATATTGCAATGGGCATGAGTGCTCATGCCCATTCTTAAAAACAGGACATAGAGTTAACATCTTCTACAGACTTGAGAAACATATTTCTAATCAACTTTAAAAAATTTAAATCCAATGTCAATCATCATATTTTGTATTCATAATTCTTAATTCCTTTTCTTTTATTAATCCCACGCCTTAATAGTGTTTTCTTTTTTCATATTCTTTCACATTCAGTAATCCCTTCCATCTTAGTGGCTTTATTGTCTTGCTTGGGGGTAAATGATTAAAAAAGTACACAAGTAAATGAATAAAAAGCTAAAACTTTTAATACATATTACAGATATAATTGTGAAAATATTACGAGTTTCATTGCTTTAACAAACTTGATAATTGCCACATATCTTATACAGGAATATGTACAGAAACAGACCCACAGTATACATAGTCTTGATATTTGTATGCAATTTGCTTTTAAGTTAAACAATTTAGACAATCTTTTAGTGAAAAGATTTTTTAAAAATCTAAAACCAGCATTTTATCACAATTTCGGCTTTAATTTATAAGACTATGAAACATTTTCTTTCATTCAATCTAATAAAAAATATCTATGGAAAATAATAAACAAAAAAAGAGAAGGCTTAAGAATAAAGATCCTCGAAGTAAAGACTAAGTATATATTAGTATGATGTACTTATAAAGGATAAGACCTTTCCTCATCATATCATTGCTTTTTTATTTACTCTCTTTGCCAGTGAATGTTAAATTTGTATGTTTAAATATTTTTGAAACATTATATATAAAAATATTGTTATATGTCAGTACTCTTTTAGATAATTTGTGCTAATTAATATTTCTTTATTATAAAATATATATATCCATAGAAAGGAAAAATACTTTCCGCTAAACCAGTTTTTACTTACAGGGCACATATATTTACATGAATGAACCTATTTTATTCAGTAATGTGTAAACAAAATGAAATTCAGTTTTATTTGTAACATCAGTAAAGAATAAAATCAGTTTACAAATTTAAATCATAAAAGCAAAGTAAAGCAAATCCCCTGCAACCTGACCAGAAAGTAAAAATATAGATAGATAAACATCTAACAAAATATTCCTGTGTACAAAATTTCCTTTGTTATTTTTTATTTTATTTTCTCACAATATTTTCTATTTCAATTTTATCTATTTTTTTTATGTGTTGGCATTTTCAGAATTCAAGTACCTTTCTTTAAAAAAAACCTTTCAGGTTTTTAGATGTATTCTGTTTTATCTTAGGTTTTCTTTTACCACCAGTGTATTTGTTAAACACATTCTTTTTATCTTTACATGATTTTGTTTCTTTCTTTTAAATCTTCTCTTGCTACTTAATCAATATATTTTTCAGCTTAATTTATTTTCTATTTTTTCTTACATTTTATACAAGACCAAGTCAAGTAAAAATACTTTTCAAGACCACTCTGATATTATAGTCTGGATACAGCAGTGTCTATATCCAAGTCACAAGTTAGTTATGATGTGACAAAATTTGATGCACCATAAAGCAAATAATAGCACCCAAGAAAAATATTATTGTCATACTAGGGTTGTTTCCCTGAAATTGAATAGAATACTTGCCAAAGAAACCTTTGTATCCTTAATGGAAGATGATCACAATTAAAATGTTCTAACATTTTTGATCTACACTGATGTCAGAGGGTACAGAACTGTATCTGAAGTTGGACTTTCTACTGTACAGCTTGGCTTTCAGTGAATTACTAAAGAAAGTGTATTGGGTTGAAGTCAAAACAACATTACTAATATTAGAAAATAGACTTATAACTTTCTCTGATTTTATTCTGCTAAACAAGTCAGCAAACTAATATTAATACTATTTGATATTTGAACAATAAAGTATTAGTCTATTTTTCATTAAAAAAGTAAATAAAGAGAAAATAAGAAAAAATTTATACTGCTGTTAAGAAAGTCTAATTTTGCATTATAAAAATCTAATGTTTACAAAGGCTTATTACATATTTGGCTTTTCTAAAGGCATTTACAAATTCACAAATAAAGTGCGTGTTGATGTCATTTTTTCACATTATCTTTGAACAAGTTTCAAGAACTTAGTTCATCCATTAATCAGAGACTATTTTCCCATATAAGACATTTGTCAATGTTGTCACCCAAGATATGGCAAAAGAAGCAATATCTTCAAATTACCTTGGTGCTAAAAATATCTCAACACTTTAAAAATATTTTTTTTATTGTTTATAAAAACAGATTTAACCAGACAATACACGTTTTCAAATAGCGATATTTCATATGCTCTTATTTTCAGAAAACAAATTATAGTAACCAGATGTACTATAAAGGGTACCTCAGCATGGAATCTGATAGACCATTACTATAGTGAGTTTGCTCCACACTGGATACCCTATACTTGTAGCCTTGTACTAAAAGATAAGCTTTGTGAATCACAATTAGGAACACTACAGTGTGAATACATTACTTATATAACATAAAACATTCTATAGTGTACACAAGGTAATGAGCAATTGTTAAAGTAAGTGGTCTATTAAGAAAAATAAATTTATCCTCTATTTAATGGAAATATATACAGTGGCTGATACATTTATAAATCTTTGAGCCATTTCTTAATTGGGTATTTTGTACCAAAAAAGCATACATTTTCTTAAACTAGATATTCATATGCAAACTCAGCAAAGGATTTATTTGTGAAAGATGAAAAAGAAAACAAAGTAATCAAATATTTTTCTTTGAATTCTTGAATTATGATAGATTAAATTCAAGAATTTATTACAGCAAATGAAAAGTAACCAGAAAACAGAAAATGTAAATCAAAAATACATTTAATCATTGACAAATTAGTGAAAGACACTTCATTAATTCTCTTTTTTTATATTATCTTATCTTAAAAAGAATAATAATTGATGACAGATTTTTAAATGTGCAAACATTTATCAATAAACACTTTAAAAATCATTTTCTATCTAATTAACAACACATGTTTATATTATTGATAATTCTTCTTAAGAAAATAGGATTTTTAATTTATGATTTAGCCATTACAAGTATTTGTCTTTATTTAAACAAATTTATATAATGTATAAGTAATTTTATGTACATTTTATCTATCCTGTTTAGCAGAATATCTTCACTGAGAAGGAGATACTAAGTGACCTTTTGTAGTATAACACCACAATTTAACATCCAATTAATAAAATAGTCCTGCTTCCACAACCACTGCCATTACTAGTGCATATTATTACTACTAGCATAATTACTACTATTAATAGTATTAATATAACTAATATATTTGTTTTAATATCTTATTTATGCACTTTTTTCATTATTTATATTCTAAAAATGTGTGGTCTTGTCATTGTTTTGTTGTTGAAGTTGATTTTTTTAACAATTGTATATTTTGTTTATTTTTTTAAATGAAAACGTTATTTGATTTATTTTTATTCTTCATCATATTTTTATGGCATAATAGAGAAGAAGAAAAAAATGAGAATCTAATAGTCAAATCTATTATGACTAGGAAACCTTTGTCAAACTGTACAACCATTTTCAAAGCTGAAAAAATAAAACAAGAATAATCAAAAATGTCTCATTTTTTGCTTGTTGAAATGTGCGAGTATTTTCTTTCCTTCTATCAGAAAAGTTTGCATAAGAGACCTCAACTGGTAATGACCTGGTACAAACACTATCTTGCTCAGCAAAGCAAAGATGATGAGGTAAATATGTTGCTACTGAGTCCAATGTGATTCTTATCGTCGACAACCACGTAAGACTGGGTGTTTGTTCTGACTTTGCTGCATAAGTTTAGCATTAAATAATCGTCACTGTCATAATATCTCTCTCACTGGTTTTCCTCATTTGGGATATTTTTCTTTTCAAAACTATGACATTTTATTTATTTAGTTTTGTTGTAAGCTTATTGTTTCAGGTAGAGATGATTATAAAATTTAAAAATTAATAGAAATCTAAGAAATTGTAAGTTAGAATCTAGTAGAAGAGATTGGAATTAGTAATTGGCTCATCAAATATGTGCTTAAATTTTCTTTTCTTAATGATTTTATTGCAATTATTAGAGTTTGTCAATATTTCTGATCACATGACAGTGAGATAGCTCAAAAGGTTCATATGTTATAACAATGACAAATTCATTCTATATTTCCATTCCCAAAAGGCTTTAACATAATTAGTTGTCTATAATTTATAAAATTTGTAAATTTCAATAACTCATTTTTTTATAAAAACATTAAAATAACCTTTACAGACACATATAGAAATAAATATATATAGATATCCAGACATATATACACTACGACAGTGTATAGAAAAGGATATTTTATGAGTTACATTAATATGTCAGATATTTGGGAATTAGATACATATATCAGGTATCAAACCTTGAAATGTCTTTTTGGGGAGAAAACAGAAGATATTGCTATTGGAGGACTTAAACTAAGGTCATCAGGGTTTGACTTTGATAAACTAGAAACTTTTTTCCATTCCTTCTTTCATTCTAACATAGATTTTGTAATTAACTTTATTTCAATCAATTTCTTCAGTTTGGACTTTAGCTCAATGTAACTAAAAATAAACTTGCATTACTAATCTTAAAAATGTTGACTTTTAAATTTTTTGCATAAAGATCAAATGTTGCATTTGATGTGTTGATAAAATTAAGATAAATTTCCATTATGCAATATTCTGAAATTCTTGAGGAAAAAAAGAATTGACATTTCCCTTCTCTTCAAGAGATCAGAAGTTTAAGCTCTAAATCTGCTTCTGGTAATATTCAGTTATAGTTAAAGTTAAAAGATCTCATGACAAAAAATATTTTTAAAACTACATTTTCTTTTTAAAAAATTTCAAAATAGGTTTCACTCACCAAATATCTTCTTTCTAACATCAATTAGTTGGTTTGATAGATTTGCTCTGTTAGAGATATAAGCTTATACAAGAACCTAAATTTAAAATAAAAACAATAAATAAAAAGTTTAATGCTTGGAAATTATAGAAAACCAATGTATAATAAACTCTGTTATTGTGTAGAAAAGGTTCACTTGTTAAAATGAGGTTAATTTTGTTGATTGGAAAATGGCTTTAATTTTCTAAGGTTCTGACCAAAAGAACTGATAGTTTCTTAAGTTATTTGTTCATAGGTTTTCTTGAGTTATGACAATTGATTCTATGCTTCTAATTGAAATGCTGAACTATCATCATGCCCACCTGTGCATGGATTCCAAAGGGGAAAAATATGCATATTATGAGAACTTCTTAGCAAAAGCTGCTTGAATTAGTTACTTAATTTAATTCTTGAAGTGACTTTTTGAAATCAGCTTGATAACAGCCTCACAAGAAGGGGATTTTCATTGAAGGACTGGAAGAATTTTAATAAATATTCATTGCATTTTTCTTATTATTTAAATGTTGCAACATATCTGAGTGTAGCAAAGATATGATGCAAATTTAGAAATATAGAAGCATAAATGAAAATTCAATCTTTTATATCTTTTATTTAGAATGCATAAGCAGAATTCAACTAAATCAATCATGCTATTAATAGTATTATAAAAGAACCTGTATCTTTGAGAGATAATCATAACTTCCTTCTTTCTTTAATATGAGTTTTTATATATATATATATATATATATATATATATATATATATATATATACCTAAGGAAAATTATTGATTATTTTTTAAAAATGGTTTTATTTCCAATACTAGTAAATGAACATTAAACTGCTTGACAGCTAAAACAATGCATGATATAAAGGAGGGAAAATAAATTTTCATAAAATATACTTTAAAATTATTAAAATACACGTCGTAAAAATAAAAAATCTAATGAGCCAAAAATTTAGAAAATGACATAATATTTTTTTTAATTTAACGTGTATGAAAAAAGAAAAACAAAAGTTGTTTTAAAATAAAAGCATAAAAATAAGTTTCAACATCTGATTTATTATGATAAATAAATAGGAAATGATTTTCAAAAGTTTCAATACAGGTATTGTTTCAATTAAAATGTTTTTCTAGATTTTGTTATTGTTTTATAGCTTAACTATCAATTTTATTTATAACATCAGGGTAGTTGGAAGAATTTTTACCCAGTAGAGGTAAACACTGAGAGAGGTTTTTGCTTTGACAGTGATAGACTGCTTGGTTGGAACGCATGGGGTATTGTAGCTACAGGGCATCTGATCGGTACTGTTTGCATTTTCACCAGCTGACAGCCGTTTTAGAAGCCATTAACAAAATCTCTGAATTCCTTGAGACATTTTGTCTGATAGCACACATACAATCTTATTTTTATATATTACATGTAAGTAAATTCTCACAGAATCATCAACATGGTATCCCAATGAAACTTTCAAGACAACTAATCTAATATAGAAGCTGTACTCACTGCCTGCCTTGAGTTTTTTTTTCTTTTAAATACAATTAAAAAAAAAAAACAGTAAACAATGTACATAGAATAACCACAAATACAAAGTTCTTGGCTTGACCAAGAAGACCTTCCAAAAAAATCTGATGTTAGTTCATTTGGTCAGATTTTGGGAAGGAGATCAGATTAAGAACTTTTCAGTATCTCATCATATTCCTTTAGTTTTTTGTTTTCTAATTATTTTCATCCAACCTGTACATTTTTCTACTCTTAGAATTTCATTATTGTATTGATTCATGCATCTAAACTAAAACAAATCTCATTAATTTTCATTTTCCTCTAATCAGGTGTCTATAAGGAATATTACAATATCACTTGATTACATTCATCTTTTATTCTTTGTAGAGATCCCCTTCAAATATATCCATCTCATTCTACTTGTACACCCAGATTATTTTCTCTGCAATCAGTTCTCTTTTCTTTCAAATTCTTTCACTTTAATTGTTTTCTTTTTTATTAATCAACCTGATAATTTGAAATGTCATCTAATGTAGATAAATAAAAAAAAAAGAATTGATGTAAAATTTGATGTTGTTAGTTTTTGCTTTTCAATTCTTTTCTCATTTCCAAACTTCAATGTTAAAGATGTTTATAATTGCATACTTATAAATGCACACAGTATATAGTTTTTTTATCTATAAGGAATACTGTTCCTTTGGGATACAACTATATCAGATTTATAGACATGAGATACAAATAAGAAATATAACTAGTAATTATTAAGTTGTATTTTTAACCTTCATGACTCTGTTCATAGTGAGATTAAATTAAAGCTTAAACAAACTAACTTTACCAAATATTGAATAGATTAGATACCATATATTACCTTATGTTTGTATCAAATAAGATTAATTGAAAGATATTTGAACAGTGCTATTCAAATGATACTTTTTTGTAATAGCAAAGTGAAACTGTGTATATCTTAATTTGTAACACATAAAAAACGTAAGGCTCAGTACTCCATAGATAATTTTTTAATAACATCACATTTAACTTCATTTTAATATATTAAGTTATATTTTCAAATCAAATCTGAGATCATTTTGTATTTATAAAATCTCATCATAGACAAATGCAAAGTACACTTTTTTAATTCCACCAAATATAGTTTAATTGATTGTAAATTCTAAAATCAGTCTCTGTGGAGCAAGCCCAATTCTCTGCACTTTCTGATAGGAATTGCAGGAAGAAGCTTACTTAGTGCTTTCTTAATCAAAATTATTTTGGAAATAACTGAATGAGAAAAGATCATTGAAATAAAAATAAAACCAGATAAATTTTCAAGCATTATGGTCACAAGGATTATTTTAATTTAATTGTTGACTTAGGCCAGAAAAATATAGGCTGACATTAATTTGCTTTGAAGTGACATTACTAAAATTTAAGAGGTTTAACTCTATTCCAATTACTATCCTTACCATCACTATTATTATTATTTCTTTCATCCTCCTCTTCCTCATCATCATCATCATACCATTCTTGTATTATCATTACAGAAAATGCAAACATTCATGCAACATGAAATATTCGAAATGGTCATATACTACAAATGTATGCAAAATACATTTTTTATACATTAGAAATAAGTAAATTAATAGTATTTTAATCTACATGGGAAACTGTACAAATTCTGAATTAATCATGATATTTTCTTTTTCACTAATATACCATTTTCATCTTCATATTAATGTTAATGGAGTATCATAAATTTTTTTATACTTAGATATATCTTCCTACTGTAAACAATATAAAAACCACAGCTTCCCAAAATTTGATGCTATTTTTGTTTTATAATTGTTTTCTTGGTGGCTTTGTAGAACCTTATCTTGATGTTTATTTCAGATTATTTTTCTATGTACTTTATACTGATTGTTAAATATCTGTTTGCAGATTTTCACCTTATGTAGCACTATTTTTGATCTATAAATTTACCGACTAAAAAAATCCGTCTCCCTCTCAATCATGTTTGGGATGTAGAATTGTTAAGGTTTTCTGGCATCCCTTTGTTGTATGGCTGAGAAGGGAACAGCTTCTAGGTTCAGAAAACACATCTTTTTAGTGAATACCACCATTTCTGGTCATTTCACATGTTTATTTGCTCTCTTCTAAATTAAAACATCATTTGACTTCAGCTCTGTTTTTAATATGTTTACCCTTTTGAAAGATCATTGGAAATGTTCATGTGCAACCAAACTTATGTTGGACATTTTTCCATTTGCTCTGATATTTACTAACACAATTTTCTCTTGTCCAGTTTCTATGCAATATTAATT